ACATCTGTCAGGGATGGTGTAGACGGAGCTTGGTCCTGCCTTGAGGGCAGGGGGATGGACTCGATGACCTCTTGAGGTCCCTTCCAGTCCTATTATTCTATGATCAAGTCCAGTCCACTGCCTTTACAGCAGGACCAAGTTACATCCCTGATAAATTTTTGCTTCAAATGGTCTCTGCAAGGCTCAAACTCACAACCCAAAGTATAGCAAGCCAATGCTCAAACCACTGAGCTAATGTAGGATTAGGAAACAAAGTGAGTTTTCCTTGTACAGGCTCACCTGGGTCTGACTGAAAACAGGACAGCAAGGCTAGGCACAAGATCTCTAACTACAAATTCATGCTCTGTAGCATTCATGGATACCCCACAAAATGGGCAGGAAGCAGTCACAGGTCGTTGACTCTAGGAGCACCTTCCAGTTAGGCCTTCAAAAAGCAGCAGAAGAGAAGTTGCTGTATTTTAGGCTGAGCCAAGAGAATGTCATTCCTGGTAGCACAGGGATTGCATATTCATGAACAAATGAAATTCTCCCTCTTCAGTGAGCGGTAGCTGCACTAGCAGAGACAGAAGAACATACAAGGTCTCCTATAGCATTTGGGGTCCAACACCAACATTTCTGTCCCTAGCAGGTTCCCCGTGCCACCCACGCCAAAGAACAGACTAATTCCCCAAGCCTCATCAGCACGAACAACCTTAGGGTGCGTCTCCACAGCAGCCGAAACTTGAAATAAGACACATCATTTGTGCTAGGTAAATTGCGCATTTTATTTCAAAATGGTTGGTTTTGAAATTTGGCACATACACAGCACCAAATTTCAAAATAATGTACTATTTCAAGACATCCCTTACCCCTTGTGGAACAAGGGTTACCGGGATGCCGAAACAGCATGCCCATTATTTTGAAAAATATTTTGAAATAATGGGTGGTTTGTGTAGCTGCAGGATAGCTATTTCGGGATACCTCTGGTATCCCGAAATAGCCGTGCAGTGTAGACGTACTCTCAGTGTGTTTGATCCCCACTGGGGACAGTCGCGTTAAATGACATGACTCACCATGATCTTGTGGGTGAGGTAGACCAAAGAGAACCATGTTCACCATCGTGGCTGGTTAAACGTTTCAGAACATGCCACCGGCTAATGTGGGGAGTAGGATCTGTCCTGACCACAACTTTGGGGTCAGCGTCCTATCAGCTAACAGATCTCAACATCTTCTGCAAGCCCAGCGGGGTGATGTAATGGAGACAAGCCCCCAGCTACGCTGGAGCAAACTTCGGGGAAATGATCTGGAACCTCAGTAGGACAATGATGTTTTGACACAGTCACACAGAGCACAGTTCCCACGTCAGTGGAGACGGAGCCTTCCTGGCACAGAAGCCTAGAACTGAAAGGGATCTCATGAGGTCGACGACTCCAGTCCCCTGCCCTCTCGGCAGGACCAAGCACCGGCTAGACAATCCCTGAGCGATGTCTGTCCAACCTGCTCTTAAATATTCCAGTGATGGAGATTCCACCACCTCCCTTGGCATTCTAACCACCCGGATTAATAGAAAATTGAGGTAAAGGGAGAAGTGGAAAATCAAAAAATAAAGTTTGACTAAATCTTTCATCGTGAAATAACTCAGCATGGGGACTGGGTGGTGCAACATATTAGACTGTTTTGTCTGCCTAGCGACCTAACCCCCTTAATGTCCTAGGTGAACTCAGCTTAGGACACAAGGCAAAATGAGTTTGGGGGTTTCATCCTATTCTCCCATGAACATCTGGCTACACGACAAAACCAGCCCGTAACAGGACAGGGTTTATCAGCAGTGCTACCACCGTGCTGCCAAAGGTTACCATCTAGCTTCAGGCTTCTCCCCAACCTACTACTAGTCCAGTGATGCTCCATACAGATCCAACCAGCCAGATGCCAGCATGCTAGATGGAGCGGTGACAGCTCTGAGGGTATTTTCTACACTCTGTCACAAGGGAAAGGCACCCTTGGTTTTCTTCAAACGGGGCTTTGTTTCGGAGCTGGAGGTGTTGCCAATTCACACAACTTCCTCCTCTTGCAGCAAGTCGCATTGTAAGTGATCCACCACATGATCCGTTGACTCCAAACACCCTGACTCCACTGAGACCAACAGGTCCTTTAATAAGCCATTTCTATGAAACCATTTGCAACACTTTACCCACAAAGTTAGTAACCATAAGGACCCGATCCTTGTCCCACTGAAGTAATTAGGAACATCTAAACATCTGAGAAGGAGGTGTCATTGTTTGTGCGCTCTAAGACTAGCTCTCCATGGATCCAGATAAGAAGTAATGGTTCATGATGGGTTATCACAGTTCACCAAACTCAGTTTGCCTGTGCACAAGATACAGGTTGAACCTCTCTAGTCTGGCACCCATGGGACCTGACCCGTGTCAAACCAGCGGATTTGCCAGACCATGGGAGGTTAATGTTGTCTAGCAGCATCACCAACACTTCCATGGCTTACTGAGCTGTTAGAGGACATTGAGTGGTAAATCAGAGTTAAACAACAGCACAGAACACTGAGCGCCAGGACTGGTGGCTGTAAAACTTTATGGGACCCCGGGAAATGGATAAGTGGACAGCCGGCTAATTAAAATAATGCCGGACTATGGATGTTGCCAGACCAGAAAGTGCTGGACTACAGAGGTTCAACCTGTTGTATGTTGTGTGGAATTCTTTACAAGATCATAAATCTTAGAATTTACACACACCAGCTATGCCTGAAAACAGTCTCTTTAATAGGGGGACGGGACAAAGTAGGTCTGATACGGCAACTTTCTTTCGGTCCTAGGAAGGCACCACATCAAGTCATTCACACACTAGGACATCGGTCATGACGCAACTCTCCTGTTGTGAGCCTGGGACAACCGGCTATGGGGCTAGAAGGATTATTTCCACAGATGCATACTTTGATTTGGTTCCACCTATAGCTTCACCCCCCAGCCTGTTGCCCCTACTCCACAGGTGTGACTGAAGTTTGGTCATGGTTGTGTGTGCTTAGCCTGTTGCCCCTACTCCAGTCACACCTGTGAAGTTTGGTCATGGTTGTGTGTGCTTGATGCACAAAGTCAAACGTCCCTTCATACAAAAAGATCAAAATGCCATCTTTAGTTTCCAATCCTTTGGTTGGCTGGAAGACAAGACATAAGAGTACCGGATGAAGCCACCATCAGACGCTGTAAGTGTTAAATATTGACCTTGGCCATTTCAATTCTTCTTGTTGTTGCCCGTTTGCACAAACATTAAAGGGTACACATCTACACTGCATGGCTATTTCGGGTTACCAGAGATATCTCAAAATACCTACCCCGCGTCTACACAAGCCGCCCGTTATTTCGAAATATTTTTCAAAATAATGGACGTGCTATTTCAGCATCCCAGTAACCCTCTTTCCACGAGGATTCAGGGATGTCTTGAAATAGCACGTTAGTTTGAAATTTGGCGCTGTGTAGATGTGCCACATTTCAAAAGAAGCCATTTCAAAAAAGAGATTCGAGATAAGATATGCAAATGAGATAAGATGTGCAGTGCAAATCACGTATCTTATCTCAAGTCAAGGGTGCCATGTAGACACACCCAAACGGTTTAGCGCAGAGGTCTGTACTAATGGAGTTCCGTCCTCACCAGCAGATGTCACTATGGCACGGGGAGAACACGTGTAGCGGAATAGCCAGGTTCAAGTTTGTGTGTGGCCTGCAGGCCAAGATCCAAAAAAGTTTACAGTGTTTCATAAGTGCTGTCTAAAAATATAGAATCAACCCAAGTCTATAACGTGATCTCCCTAAGGCGTTCACGCTGCAGTCTGCAAAGCAGACGTAAGCACAGTTTTAAGTACAGTCCCTCGCATCCAAGCATCAGGGCAACTTGATCCACCTATTTTCAAAGGCAAGTCCACCGTTTGCTGAAAAGAACGACAAGAAATAATCTCTCCACAATGCAGCAAGTAACCACAGAATGCTGTCCAAAGTGCAAACCTCTCGGCTCTCACTTTGAGCGCTGTGCAAAGCGCACCGCGTTTTGTCCCTGGGCACGGCGTAGACACATGTTCTCTATTAGGCAAAGAAAGGCAGCTTCATGGTGGCTGCCCTGAGATTATCAAGCAATAGGGCAATTAGCAGAAGTAGATACACCGCCCCCCTCACAGGATGTTTAGAAGTGCTTACAGCGGCACCAGCGAGCCCGGCGTGGCTCATAGCATCGTAGCGAGGTGCAGCATTTCATTAGCCGTAAAAAAGCTGGGAGAAAGGTTTCCTTTTGTTTTACAGTGCAAAGCCGAGCCGCAGACCCGTTGGCTTCTGAGGTAGGGCTGTGGATGCAAAGCTGGCTAATTGCAGCAAAACTGGCTACTGTGGAGACTTGCTTTCTGTTAACAACTGAACTTAAACCTCGCAGGCAAGGGGCCAAAACAGATCTCCCCCCCCCCCCCCCCCCACGCGCGCGCCCC